AATGGTTTGGGGGCAGATCATAGTTACAAGTCAGCAGTGACCTCGTTCTAAAACCTGGCCATCTGTTTGTGACTCAACTTCAAAGAAAAGTCCTATCTCACTCCAGGTATATGTAGAATTGAAACTTGTATTAATGAACACACATAACTATTTTCTTTTGAGTGTTTGGCCAAAGTAAGAGGAGATGCGGGTATAGGAACCTGTGGCCCAAGCTAATATCCTGGGCACATGTGGTCACATCCCACCAATGCATCTAATGGATTCACAATTCAATTATTTATTATTTATATCATATAATTTATAAATGTATTATTTAATAATAAAAATACAGAATACTAAACTAATCTCAGTGAAACCGACCATTGTTGTTTGTTGCAAAAATAACATCCAATTTACTGTTCAGAAAGGGGTTGTGCCACCCCTATCTACAGAGTTCCCACTGTCCCCTGAAATTGCCAAGCAAGTACTCAGCTCAGTTGAAATTTGGGATGGGTAACAAATGCTGGTCTTGCTAGCGAGACCCACATCCTTTGTAGGAATAAGGATCGTATCCCCGCAGGAATATTCTTTCTATGGGTATGGGTGACTAGGCAACACTTGTAGTCAATCTTAACCCCAAGGCATGGCTCAGAAAGGAGTTTAATGATTGGGTTCCTCAGCTGCGATGCTTCTTGTGGGTCTCAGCGGTCAAGCCTGTAGAGAAAGGATGTGTTGTTGTGGAATTAATCTTGTCCAGTTGCTCAGAACTTTGTAGATCTGACATTTGGCAGTCTCAGAATGCTGCTGAGGGAGTGGTAAATTTAGATTAAATTTAGAGGTTGTGATAGTGTCACCAATCAAGAAAGCTATTTAGACCTTCTTTGGAGAGGAGACTATCTGGTACAATACTCAAAATAACATTTTCACAATTAAAAAGATCCCTTTGTAAGTAATAATATTAACTTGTAATTTAAAGGTTTGTCAGGACATTTACTTCCATTGGGTGGGCTTTTCACAAAACAATCATTGTTAAAGAAACAGGCCATTTAAAGCTCTGACTAAAAATCACTTGCACCATGTATTTTAAACAAAAATCATAGAAGCATATGAATTAAGATCAAGGGTAGGCCATTTGGCCCTTCAAGTCTGCATTACCTCCTGATTATTCCACATTCCGGCCTGCCTCTCATAACCTTTCGTTCTTTTTGTTTTAATCAAGAATCTATCTACCTCTGCTTTAAAAATATTCAAACACTCTGCTTCCACCATCTTTTGAAGAAAAGAGCTCCAAAGACTCAAGACCCTTTGTGAGAAAATGTTCCTTCTTATCTCTGGGCAGCCAGTGTTTATTTTTCGAACAGTGAGCCTAGTTGTAGATTCCCCCACAAGAGGAAATATCCTCTGCATATTCACAAGACCTCTCAAGATCTTACATGTTTCAATCAAGTCACCTCTTACTCATCTCAGCAGCTAGAAGCCTAACCTAACCCATTGCTCATAAGACAATTCACTAATTCCAGCCATTAGTTTCCTAAAACGTCACTGAACTGCTTCCAAACACTACATCATTCTTGAAATAAGGAGCTGAATACTGCACATAATACTCCACATATATTCTTACCAGTGCCCAGTATAACTGAAGGATAACCTCCCTGCTTTAATGTTCAATTCCTCTCGTAGTAAACAATAACATTAAATAGAAAATAGAACATAGAACAGTACAGCGCAGTACAGGCCCTTCAGCCCATGATGCTGTGCCAACCTGTTATCCTACTCTAAGATCAAACTACCCTGCTTACCCTACAATTTACTATCATCCATCTGCCTATCCAAGAGTCGCTTAAATGCCCCTAATGTATCTGACATTTTACTAGCTTTCCTAATTACTTGCTGTACCTGCATACTAACAATTGCAGTTCATTCACTAGGACACCCAGATCCTTCTGTAATTCAGAGCTTTGAAGCTTAGAACCATTTAGATAATATCTCCATTTTTATTCTTTTTCCCAAAACTTCACATTTCCCCATCTCGTTTGCTGGATATTTGCCCATTCACTTCAGTTATCTATGTCCCTTTGTAACCTCCTTATGTCCTCTTCATGGTATACTTTCTGACCTACCTGTATGTCATCAGCAAATTTAGCACTCATCCCTGTGGCATACTATTTCCAAACTCAAAAACAACCCATTTATGTTTAATCTTTGAGATAGTAAGACCTGCTGATGCTGGAGTGAGAGATAACACAGACCCGAAACATCAGCTTTCCTGCTCCCCTGATGCTGTCTGGCCTGCTGTGTTCCTCCAGCTCCACACTGTGTTATCTATGTTTAATTTTTGCTTCCTTTAGCTAGTTAACCTACTATCCATGCTAATACTTCCATACAGTAAGCTTTTATTTTCTACAGTCATCTTTGAAATAATACTTTCTCAAATGCCTTCTCAAAGTCTAAGAACAATACTTCTACTGGTTCCTCTTTATCGAGAACATGGTACTTCCTTAAGGAACTCCAGTAAATTGGTTAAATATGATTTGCCTTTCACAAAATGTTGACTCTAAAATTATATTCAGTCAGCCTGATTATCTTAAACATTTCTAATTTTCTGAGAACTCTGCTGAGCATTTGTCATAACAGCTTCTAATATCTTCCTTATGTCAGATGTCAAGCTCACCGTTTTCTGCATTCTGAATCCCTTTTTGAATAAAGGAGTTGTATTCACCATACTGTATATTCATATTCACTACTTTTCAATCTAAAGGAATATTCCCCAAATCTAGGGAATCTAGGAAAATTGAAACCAATGCAACAACTCTCTCACAAGTCATTTCTTTTAAGACATAGAATGAAGTCCAACAGGACCCAGGGATTTGTCAGTCCATAGTTACAACAATACCCTTTCTTCCATTTCCTGACATACAGCTGTTTCTGAGATATTACTTGTGTCCTGTACAGTGAAGACTGACGTAAATATTAGTTTGATTAATCTGCTATAAATCTATTTGCCATTATTTATTAAGCAGAATATTCAGGCCCTCGCTAAAGCTGAATTTGCAGCCGTGCACATTGTGATCTCAGGGTTTATACGGACCACAAATTTAAACATTCAATAAAACTTCCTTGGGAGAAATTATTCAGCCATCTTCGGTTAATATGTTACAGAATGAAACATTTGTAAATGTGAAACCGAAAACTTTGTGCAGGTTTTTGAATCTCTGAAGATAATTCAGGACTCCTGCCAGAGAACCAAAACCTGAAATTGCTGTAGAAACTCAGCAGGTCTTAGCAAGTGGGAAGAAAACAGAGTTAACGTTTTGAGTCCAGTGAATCTTCATCAGACTCAAAACATTAACTCTGCTTTCTTCCCACAGATGCTGCCAGACCTGCTGAATTTCTACAGTTAATTTCTCCTTTTGTTTCAGATCTTCAGCATTTGCAGTTCTTTGTCTTATTTTATTCCCAGCAGTGAAGATAGGTTACAAATGTATAGCCTCGATATTTCAGGCAGTTAACCCTTCATTTATGCAGCAGTTTGTGATTGTGGGGACACTTCTGCACAATGTGCTAAACTGGGAGAGAGCTCAGACAAATGTTCCATAAGATTTGAACACATTTACAGCCCAAAGATCATGAAGCAGGGATACTTTAATCCACTGGCATCAAAGCATTGCAAACAAGAAGGGAAATGAAGGGGGAACACTGAGCTATTTATACTACATGCATGGAATGACCACTGTGGTTACACTGGGCTGAGGAATGCCTTTGTCTGCCTCCCCTACCATCCCTCTCTGTACCAAACACAACTGTCTTTCCATCACAAGTCTGCTCTAGCTGCCCTCCTTCACAGCCACCCCTTGCTGCTGGAGGTCCCATTACACAAAAATAATCCAATCCAAGCGTTTCCACAATATATGATGTTATCTGAATCCCATCTGATATTCTGTCCTTCATACTCAAAATTTAACAAAGTTTTCGGTCGCTTGTTTTTCAATTGAAAAAAACAACATAAAACTGTGTGAAAAATGAAAGAGCTGCAGATGTTGTAAATCAGGAAACAAAACAGAAGTTGCCGGAAAAGCTCAGCAGGTCTGGCAGCATCTGTGAAGGAAAAAACAGAGTTCATGTTTCGGGTCCGGTGACCCTTTTTCAGAACTGAATTCTGAGGAAGGGTCATCGGACCCGAAACATGAACTCTGTTTTTTCCTTCACATAAAACTGAGTGAGGCAGTCAGCAATATTCCTACTGAGAGTGAAGAAATGTCAGAACTCATTAGCTGTCAACATTACCAGATGCAAATTGTTCTGTATGGCACTAGTAAGAAGTACATCAGTGCAAAATCCTTTTGTGTGTTGTTTTAATGAAGGCATTAATTCATTGAAAGCAAGATCAAGGCCTTTGTCAGAATATTACACCTTTTTCGACATGTAGCTCTGCTGTAGTCATTTATAAACGTGCAAAGCAATTTATTTTCTGAATTGATACAGTTGCAAATATCATTCGGGTTGCAAATTCATTTCAAACTAACAGCAATGTGAGATCACCTACAAGAGCTGAATTCAGAGGCTTTCAGTTTTACACAGGCTGCAGTATAACCACTGCTATTGAGGAAGCAGGTTTAAAAAGGTGGTGTGTGGCACATTCAAAGCCAATTTCTCTTATCTGTGGACATTAGGGACACACATATGTGTCGACTCCCACTTCCTCTGAGCAGGAACACTATATGGAGCTGGGAGAACAGCTCAGGTCTGCAATTCTTTGAGCAGAGAGCATCCTGAAATTGGCATTGTTACGCCAACAACTGCCTTAGATAAACAATGCTGTGTGAAACCCTGTCATATACAGCAGCTTCTGCAAATAATCCAGGATGCCAGACAAGTGAGAGTGTAACACATTGCTAACTGCACTATTCGCCTGTAGTAATTAATTGGGTTATCGCATAAACACACAAAACTTAAGTTTAACGTAACATTCAGAAAGGTGAAAGCACAATGTCAGTGGATGATTTGATAAGTCACGGCTTTACCTGTGTCCACTGGCTCTTTCACAATGACAGCGCAGTAAGGGTTCTGAACATCCTCGGCTTGCGGGCACGGACCGATGTCAAAGTTGGAGAAGCCAATACGAAGGAAAGGAGCCATTTCGGAAATCTTGACAGTCAGACCTTGGCATAACATATGAACAACTGGAGTTAGGCTAAGGAACAACCGAATCATTAAGCATCATAAGCGACAAAGAGAGGGTCTGACAGGAACCAATAGCTCATCGGAACCAACTGTTAACTTACTTCCTTCTCTGTGAGGACAAGTACGATAAAAAAAGAAGCTGGGTCAAGCAGTCTTATGTGTCACAAGGGAGGAGGAGTCATGTCATAAACTGGAGAGCACCCAGAGAGAAGGAAGTGGGGTTCGTTTCACCCTCCTGCTGAATGTCACAGCATCCAGGACAGTCATATTTCAGAAATGGGACAGTTTCAACCATAGAAACTTAACTCAGAAAGGTTTATACCCTCCCCCAGCATTTAGAGCAACACAAAGAGAATCAGAAAAAAATATATAGTTTAGGATTTTAGACCTGGCCAATGTTAAGATGACTGAACAAGAACGGAAGTTGCTGGAAAAGCTCAGCAGGTCTGGCAGCATCTGTGAAGGAAAAAACAGAGTTAACGTTTCGGGTCCGGTGACCCTTCCTCAGGACTGT